GGGGTGGCGAGGGGCTGTAGAGGCTGGAGCTGGGCTGTAGTTCTGCACCTGCTCTGCCAAGGAGGTGAATCAATGCCCCTGTTCTTCCCCTACGCAGCTTCGTGCATTGTGAAGGGGAGTGGGTCCAGGTCGGTGGAGAAACTGAAATGCTTGCAGCCAGTGATCCGGCAGGAATTGGGACCAAGTAGGCACCTGTTGCCTTTTGCCAGGGAGACAGTAGTGGGTTTCTGCCACATCCTGGGACAATTCAAGTCGCATCTGCTCCAGCATCCATCAGCAGTGCAGCAAGAAGTTGAGGTTGTGCGGGAAGGCTGCAGTGTGCCTGGCCATCACTAGAGAGCAGGAAAGCCTTCCCACTGCAGCTTCCACCTAGGAGCCACCTGGGCCAGGGGATGCCAGCAGGGACCCTCCTTGTCCCGCCCTGACTTAGCACACCTGGAAAAACACTTTATCCAAAGGATGGAATATCCCATGTGGATGCTGGGGCCAGGTCTCCCCTCTGCAGGGCAGGTAGCCCAAACCAGGAGCAGCCATAGCAAAAAGTTCCCTGGCCAGATGCCACATCCCTGGTGGGCGTCAGCCCAGGGGAAAGCATCCCTTAGTGCCCACGGGAAAGCAACCCTTATTCAAAGCATTGACACAAGTCTAAAGCACAGCTCTTAGTGCACAAATGCGGCGATGGCTGGCAAGGGGTCACCTGCAGCGGCTGTGCAGAGTCGCTGGGCTGGGGTCCTGCTCAAAGCCCCCCCTCCCAGCTGGTAGGTCCTGCAGCCTCCTGCCTGCACTGAGCAGCTGGGGCAACTGGTAAATAATAAAAATAATAATTAAAGAAAAAAGAAAGGAGGTTTTCAACTTACTTGCAGGTTTGAGCAGCCCTCCTGGCTCTGGGCATCCCTTGCAGGGATCCTCATTCCCATTGAGGAGATGGGAACAAAATGCTGTGCCAGCTGCTGTGGGCTCTGCGGAGAATTCGCACTAGGAATTTGCAGCCTGTGAATGTTATTTGGTTAGTGAACAGGGGGATGTTGAAACACCACCATGGTCACATCCCTTCCCAGCAATGCCGCAGCTCACCAGGCATGGCATGGGAGCTCCTCACCTAGCCATCCGTGAACATCCCACCCAAGCATCCTGCTCAGCCTCCCCTGCCCTTGCCCACATGCGGGCAGCAGCAAGGCAGGGGTTAGGACCACTGAAGCTGGCCTGTGCAGCTACAGCCCTGCTCTTCCCTGCACCCATCCCTGGTGCCCAGGGCTCCTGCTGCTGCACTGTTGCCAGCAGAGGATGGCGGAGATGCAGTTTCTCGTGCTTCCTCCTTTGTAGTATTGCTTTCCCTCTTTTATGTGCTCAGAAGAGGAGTGGGGGCTGGATCCAAGAGCTGAGCAGGATCTGGCCAGCACCACGAGCTCAGTGCTGGGGGCACATGGGGCTGGCAGCCAGGACACAGCTCATCCCCAGAGGTTGACAGACAGAGCTGGCCTGGCTGGCAGTCCTCTGAGCAAAGAGGTTTGCAGCTCCAGGAGGGCCATTGCCCCTCTCTCAAGCAGGAAGTTGCTGGCCAGGATGCCTTGTCCTGACAGCTGGCCAGGAAGGATGGAGATGAGCCTTTCCAGGCAGTGCCTGGCACCATCCCCTGCTCCTGCACTGGGTGTTGAAGGCACTGGCTGGTGGGGTGACAAGTGACTCACAAGGCAGCTGGGGAGGAGGGTTTGCAGTTCGCTGCATCCCCATCCTGAAGGAAGCAGTCCCTGGGGCTGAAGTCCTGTCTGGATGTGTCTCTCCAGGCTTGTCAGCCTCTGCCTGGTCTCCCTCCCCTCTGAAATGGTGCTCTGCTGGGGTCTGCATGGTTGTGGCTGATGTACATGCATTGGGAGGGTGTTTGCTGGTACCCAGCAGTAGGACGCTTGGGTCCTCCTTGGCAGTCCTTGCTCAACCCATGACTTCTCTGTTGGGTTGCAGACACTGAGACGACTTGTGAAGAAGCTCAATGAAGGTAACCAGCCATGCAATGTTCCTGGAAGGCTGTCCTCCTACTAGCCTTGGCATCCATTGCGATCCAGTACACAGCAATCCGGACCTTCACCGCCAAGTCCTTCCACAGCTGTCCCATCCCCAGCCCCGTGAACTGCAGCCTGAGCCAGGACACCGATGCTGCCGACAGGCTGTGCGACGAGAGCCCTACTTTCTCCTATAACCTCTCCAGGAAGACACACGTCCTCATCCTCGCCACCACCCGCAGTGGCTCCTCATTTGTCGGGCAGCTGTTTAACCAGCACTTTGATGTCTTCTATTTAT